GGTATCCCTGTTCTTAATTGGCCAGCAAACTCTCCTGACCTTAACCCCATAGAAAATCTATGGGGTATTGTGAAGAAGAAGATGCAATACACCAGACCCAACAATTCAGAAGAGCTAAAAGCCACTATTAGAGCAACCTGGGCTATCATAACACCTGAGCAGTGCCACAGACTGATCGACTCCATGCCACGCCGCATTGCTGCAGTAATACAGGCCAAAGGAGGCCCAACTAAATACTGAGTGCTGTACATGCTCATACTTTTCATGTTCATACTTTTCAGTTGGCCAACATTTCTATAAATCCTTTGTTTTTATTGGTCTTCAGTAATATTCTAATTTTCTGATATGATGAATTTGAGATTTTCATTTGTTGTCATTTGTAATCATCAAAATTAAACAAAATAAACATCTGAAATATATGAGTTTGTATGTAATGTATGAATATAATATACAAGTTTCACTTTTTAAATGGAATTACTGAAATCAATCTACTTTTTCATGATATTCTAATTTTATGACCAGCACCTGTATATCTGTTTAGCACATTGTGTCTGGTAGTTGGATAAGGAGCTTTAAAGATGAATAGAATAATAGAATAAAACATGATAAAATATATATTTTTTTTTCTTCAAATTAAACTTCACTTCAGTCAGAGCTCATTCTTTTACTTTTGTTTCCAATGAAGTCAACATCTTATCCACAAAGTCCAAACACACAGAGCTCGGCAAAAAGATTATGAAAATCACTGTTAAACATCACATGCATGATCACACAGACTAATGCTACATAGGTAATTATATACTGAAGACAAAGTTTAAATAATTTAGAAAATAAAAGTAATCTTGCACTATTGATACAATGGCGCTTCTAGAGGCTGAGGAATTTTACAGTTTGGCAACTGGCAACTTGAAGCTTCTCAGAGAAATGTAAAATTTAAAATCACCAAGAGACACTGGAGGTAAACCAAGGCTAAGAGCTTAAATAAAAGGAAAGGGCTAATTTCTAAAGTATGCTTTTGTAATTATTGTTCAGGCAGGTAAGTCCAAAACTATTTAGCTCCCTGGCAAACTTAGGCTTAGAGGAATCTTTTCAATGTCACCATTAAGCTTATTCAAACTAGAAATTTAAGGTCCTGACTGGAAAAACATTACATTAATTTTAAGTTTGACTAAGGAATTTAATTTTCGAAAAGACCTGCCCTCTCCAATCCACTCCAAAAAATGCACATGCACAACCTGTACCCACTCCACAGAGGAAATGCCTATTAAAGTAGTGTGAGAGCATGCACAAGCCCATTTCTCCTCATGCACGCTCTGTTTAAAAGTTGCTGAGGATTAAGAATTTTTCCACTATGTAAGACTTGTCAGTAAGTTAAAAAAATGGGGACGAGTACATAGGACGGTCTTACGTAAACATATTACCAGAACGATTGACAATTAGGAGGACCACTTATTTTGATGATCCACCCAGAAAAAGAACATCCTTCACTATACCTTTTACTGCAGTTATTTCTTAACGTAATAAAGCCTCTACATGAAGTGAAACAAGAAATAAAAAAAATGTATTCAAATGTTACCACAGACTAAACCTCAAAAACTCAAGAAGTCCTTCCTGAGTTCCTTTCAAAATAAGAGTACCCCTAGGACACCCCTCACCTCTTACCCTTGGTTCATAAGTCAGGGGCCCGAAAAACATCAAACAAATCTTCAAGGGGTATGTTTAGTTCTCACTTTTGTAGGATAAATATTTTATTTTAATGTCACTGTGTGTTGTATATCCATCTTACAGCAAAGATTAATGCTTTTACTGACAAAATGTAATTAATGCATTAAAATATGTAGAAACCTTTTGCTAATACATAACATGATGTGGTTAAGTACACGTTTACTACGGCTACTAAAGATAATGCTGTAGGAAAGTAAAGCTGCCATGCTAAAAGCCTGTTACACACAGTGCAAGCTAGCCAACCAAGTCACGCTTAATAGCCTGCTAACATTAGCTTTCAGTGTCACTCAATAAAAGGCAGAAAACAATAATTCATAATATTCTGCACAATAAACACATAAATGATGGTAATTAATTCAATTGGTGCTTAATCTCCAGTTTCCTTCAGAATCCTAACCACTGTATACATTGAATTCTTCAACATATCTTCAGCTTTTTAATATAATATCATTAACATGTGAAACGGCTCACCGAATGCACTCAGCTACATTCGCTCTCATCAACAACAATAAATACCATTATATACACAAAAATAACATTTTAGCGCCAATAATGTTTTTCTATGTTTTAGAAATGTAGAAAAACACAAATCGTAACAGGAATTTTGTTGATTAGAGCTGCTGCCGAGGGATGCGTTTACATCTCTATCCCATGTTTTCTGAGACCTGTGCTGTGAGGCACGGTGTTCCTCAGAGGTCTGTGCTCTGACAATTGCTATTTTTCTTTACAGGGTGCTCCTTTTATTCTTCTATGTTAGCTTTCACTAATACTCTGACTATCTGCAACTATTTGGGCCTGTTACCATGGGATACTGTGCTTTAGGGCTGGTTATTTAATTGGTTAATTATTTAACCAATTAAATAACCAGCCTTAATTGGACTAATTAATTTCATTAATTCATGTTTTTATAAGTCCCTGATTTCAAATTTTGCCAAATCGTAAAACAAGGAAGTCTCTTCTTCCATTCAATTCAGTTTATTTATATAGTGCCAATTCACAAAACATGTCATCTTAAGGCACTTTATAATTCAACAGATAATACAGTCAAATTGATTCAAAGTTTTCTATCTAAGAAAAAAACAGCTGATTGCATCGACTCGTTGACTCGAATACAATCCATCACACTAAGCAAGCTTGTAGCGACAGTGGAGAGGAAAAACTCCCTTTAAACAGGAAGAAACCTCCAGCAGAACCAGGCTCAGTGTGAGCGGCCATCTGCCGAGGCCGACTGGGGTTCAAGGAGACAGAAGCAGAGATACAAAAAGCAACTGTAAAAGGCGGCCCCATCCAGGAAACACACAGCCAGACAGACGAGCTCTGAGCCAGCTCCCATGCCAGAGGATGAAGAGAGCACATCCAGCCAGTCAGTCAGAGAAACAGGACTACATCTGTATTTTTTTATTGCACCTTTGCTTCCACTGCGAAATGCTATCGAAATTAAGACTAGCAGCACATCTAACTTGTTTCAGCATCTCCGGCAAAGCTTTTAGGAGTGCAGCGTGGGTAACCCTGGATGCCTCATTTTCTAAAGCGGTGCTGACTGACAAGTTTAGTGTTGGGTAGAAGCAGATGACCGACGCTGTAGCTGTTCATATAGGGATAGACAAGAACTGCCACTCTGGGGGGTTAAATAGAGAGAGTTCCTTTCATTGCTTTGTATTTGTTACAATGTACAAGTTCAGTGTAAAACTTATTGCTGGTGCAGATGTTCATCATAAACATGCAATTAGTTAAACCAGGATCAAAACATGCGCTAAAATGGAGCCAAAGTCCAGATCAAAATCAACTGGGTTATTTTGAAAGGAAACAAGGGCAAAATCTGGAATTAGTAGATGTGTGAAGCTGGTAGAGATATACCCTAGAAAAAAAGATTATGATGGTTGTGATTATTAGTGAAAGAATACAGATAAATAAAAAAATGAGCATTCTGCATTTAATAAATTTAAAAAAATAAACATTTGGTCAATAATAATAATAATATAATGGTATGGTTAATATGACTTTTCTGATAATTCAATAAACATAATCTATAACAGCATTTAACACCAACAGATTTTATGCATTTTTTTGTTTAAGGTTTCTAAAAATATTATATTGGAGGAGCTTTATAAGTTAGTCCAAATAATTGTCATAATTTACTTAGGGTTATTCTATTGATAATTTTTTTGATTAATCAATTAATAATCAGACAGGAAAAAGAGCCATAGATAAAATAAACCAAGTGAAGCTAAAATTATACCACACGACTTCTGGACAGAGCATATTAACAGATCTTAAATGCAAATTGTTTAAATATTTTTTACAATATAACATAAACGTTGCTCCGAGTGGTTCGCTCTTAAATCTAGTCTGTTAGGATACTGTTTTTTGCATCATATTAATTATTTTATCTCTTTAAAATTGAAATTGTTGCAAGAACGTGCCCTCCTAGGACAATTAAATTAGCAGGTAGAAATCTGCACCTTTCAAACTCTGACAGCATCCAGCTATTTGCCTGAACTCCATTGTTTGATGGATTCACCAAAAGTTTTCTTCTAGTCTGGAAGGCAGGACATTACTGCCTCTGGTTCTGGTCTGATGTCTGCAAACAGTTACTTTTGCATCCAACTGTGCATCCATGACACAATTAATTACATCAACCCTACTCTGACTTCTTCGAAACATCAAGCAGGTAGTGGGGTGAGCCACTGCGGCATTGATCACAATAAAAACATCAGATGTGGGACTGGGGCAAAGTTAGCGGATGGAGGTTCACAGCGGCGGGATGATACATGAAGATTAAAACAATCTGAAACTGGGAGCATGATGACCAGCAGAGCTGCACACCGATCTGAAATATGACAGAGAGGAGCGCGTCTGGAAATGATGCGATATTAACACAAGCATCCATCTTCCAACATGCTCCAAGAAAAGTGAGCCAGTCCAAGGAGGGAACGCGTTTCAAAACGCAGCGGCTCAGGATTTCTGTATATATCCGTCCAGAGGAGACAAAATACCAGATGCAACCCCGCCAGACGAGACGTGAAAAAGCATCGAGGATGATTTAGACCTGCTAGCTTGTAGAGCTAAAATGGTAGATCCCAGATTTCTCCCCATGCAGTCTCCCACCAGCAACCATGGAGGCAAAACATAAAAAAAATAAATCTAGAAGATAGGATTGATGGAAGAGTGGAGGAAATCTGGCAATTTCCCTTTTTACCTCAACTCCTTTAAAGAAAACCAGCTCATGCAGCTGAACACAAAAACACAGATGAGAGGATGACGGTAATACTTACATGATGACTCTGTGCCGAACATGGCTGGGCCAGGAGCTGTGATGGAAAGATAGGAGGAGGAGGAGGAAAGAGAGGAGAGAGAAGGTGTTGGGAGTGGGTGGGGGGGAGAAAGACAGAGAGAAAAGAGAGAGAGATGGGGTTGATGAGCAGGCAGCTACACAGCGGGGGTCATCAAAGCAACACAATGCAGCCAGCCGGCCGTCGCTGCCTCCCAGACGGCACCGCTACCCGCCACCGCTAAAGCTCTCCTCTTTGCTCACAGATGTTCAGCAAGTCCAACCGTCAACTCAGAAAACCTCTTAGGAAAATCTCTTCCCATAAACGAGCAAGACATTGGAACATAAAAATCCACAGAGATCCCTGGTGGTGAAAGCAAAGCGTTCATATCCAGACCAGGAGGACGAGGTCGTGGCTAGCTACTGCATGTCTGTGCATCCTCTCCGCTCCGTCACTCGCTCACCTCTCCTTCCACTGGAGAATTTACTAATGAAGACGGAGAGAGGGGGGGAGAGAGAGAAGGGAAAGGGGGAGGATGACAAACTAACAAAATCTGGAGAGTAGCTGCTGCTTCTGCAGCTGCTATAAGACAATAGCCATACAGCAAAGGAGTGACGTCAGGATGGGGGGGGACTGTAAAAGACCCACAACCACTACTGGACAGGGGTGGGGTGGGGGGGAGAAAAGGGAGGACCTTAAGCAATGAAAGGTATAGAGCGGCTAAGTTAATGTGAAAAGGATGTACATGGACGGGACATCAGATGGGACAAACTGCTCCTGCAGGTGGAAATGGAGTGGCCTCTAATAGATAAAGAGAGGAAAAGGAAGGAGAATAAAAACAGACAAATGACTAAGAAAGGCTGCTCCCTGCTTTTCGTTTTGGACATGATGTTTAAATAAAGGAAAAGAAATTTGAGAATGTTTACGTCCTGTTTGGCTGTTTACATTCATCACTTCAGAAACCAGAACACCCCTGAAGTCAGAACACTCATGGGTTTCTGTAGGCATGAAGCTCAGGAAACGGTGGTCTCTGACCTTTTTTCCGTTACCTGGATTCACTTTATCTGGTTTTGATACCAGCTGTTTTACAGACAGAGTTTATTCCTTCATTTTATGTAAAAAGTGTTGCTGCTAAATTAAACTTTACCCAGAACATAAAAAGATAAACTACTTGGGAGTTTTTCTTTAAACTCAAGTCAGACTTAGTGAGTCAGGACTTGAAGGTGGTGAACCACAAAGCTCTAAACCAATCCTAACACTCCCTCGCTCCATCGTTTATTTCATCTGATCTGTTCAGATTTTCACCTTTCTTTACAAGATGTATAAAAAAATCCAATCCCCTGTGGTGAAACCACTGTGAAACAAACAGCCGAGTCCTTTTATTGATGGACGCATAGAAACCTAATGATGCACCTGTACAGCAGGGAGCCCAGTTGATCTGAGCACAGCGGTGCAACCGTTGTTAAATAAATAGATGAGCAGTTTTCCTGGGCCCAAATGTGAATGAGGTGAAACATGTAGATTAGTTCAGCTGCTGTTTGGAAGGAGGCTTCAGCTCTTTTGTTCCTGCCACCCTCCTCCTCTTTCTCTCCTGTCTTTGTGAAGCACAAACCAGAAAGCCCTCAGTTATTCCTGCTGAACACTAACAACAGATCTCATTATCTATTTCTGTTTTTCTTTTTATTCCAACATCATAAGGTGAAGTCATCTGGCAGCCAATGGCAACGTGTGGACATGGAGTGGAATACGCTGATTATATAGCAGCAAGCAAACCATTTGTTCATGAAGGAGAATTAAGTACAAAGTAAATCATATTACATAGTGGAAGGGGAAATTATATCTACTAAAATAAAAACAAGAATCAAAGTAAAAAGAAACATTTTATAACTTTCTAATGTTCTGGCTTCGATTGGCTAATAGTGTGGTTCATTTCTTATAGCTAACCTCTTAACATCCAACTCGTAAGTAATCCTTTGTGCATAACCAAATGGAAAAGCAAATAACTGAGGAAGGCCAAATGACATGTGATATACATCATTTGAAAGCTAACACCTTCTAGTTTCTGAAAATATACATAACAGTAGTGTGACTAAAACACAGCCTAAACTGCATCAGTTAAAACATGACTCATAGTCTGGGGTTTTTTAGCATCATCTCAACCACAACTGCCTCCAAGTATAACAGTTCCAGAGCTGTTCGTCTTTGAATTTCTGCTTTCAAAGACGTCTCCGAACCTCTTCAAATATGCCAAATTATACCAAATTGTGCTAATTGCTTTTATACAACAACTTTACCCCAAAATATCACACCTAAGCATTTCGATGTCCACTAAACATTCTTGAAGCAAATATTTTTCCATCTTTCTTACTTTCCATCTAATGATCTAACTGTATGCAATGATCCAGACTCTAATGTGCCTGTGCGCTGTTTACGAACCGTGATATATCAGGTCTGCATTGTTCAAATTAGCCATGCTTACTGTTGTTGAAAGCTAATATCATTAACTACAAAGCCAAACACTGCATGTGGAATTATCCAATAGCAGCCAGACTTTATGAAGAATAATATGACGGGATTCGTGCGCAAAGCCAGGGGCTCATGGGGAGCACTCGTTATACTTCGAGGGCTGTCCCGGAGTCAAATCCTTACATAAATCGATGGGGACACTTTGTTTTGTTTTTATTAAGAATATGCTGGATTATTTTTAATCTGTGGATCCTTACGGGCAGATGATGCAAAAACAATCTAAGGTCGGATTTATAATATGGCGTCAGGATCTTTTCAAAGATACTAAACTGTCCTTATAGTCTGATTCATCAGAGCCATACGCAACTCCCATGATTTGTAACCAGGCTTTTAGCTAGCATTGGTATTGGCTTACAATGTACGCCTGTACGCCCTTTACTAAAGATATTAAAAATTGTACGCCCTGTTTTTGGGATGTATGGCTTTGATATGTCCTAAATTTTCCTTCGGGACCTTGCTCAAATTTGCTGGTCTTCCCCGGGTCGCCATCTTGAATTCCCCTTCTATTCTGTGGACTATGTGTGGACTTCAATAATTTGATGAAAAACTGCAAAAGAAAAGACATTTTTTTTGTGTTGACAGATGCATTTATAAACACAGTTTTGTGCATCAGTCAGTTCGAAACAGCTCCGGTATCGTTTACGTGACTTTCATGAAACGATAAACGCACTGACACAGAGTTCGCTATTAGAGCTCGACACATGCATCGATGCATTGGTGCTTCTGGACCCATCACTAGTAATAAGATACATGAAAATTTGACAATTACGTTTCAGAATAAGTTTCAGTGTCAGCTGAAAACTTAACAGAGAGCAGTCCTGGCTACACTTTCTCCTCTGCTGGTTTGCAGATTGTGTTGAAGTATTTGCAGATTGTTTTTCAGTTTGTTATTGTTTAACTTGTAAATGTAACAATCAAGTTTTACCTTTAGCAGTAAGTTTAAGTTGCCCTTTCTGATTGTTTGAATTAACCAATGAAACATAATATTACCTACAAATAATATTGTGTCTTCCTCATGAAATTTCCACCAATAGTCAAGCACGCCTTCTTCCTTTATTCAGGACAAACGCAGGGTTGTAACGAAGACAAAAAGTTAACTGCATTCCACCTCAAAATGCAGGAAATAGCATTTCAAAAAATCTAAATCTCAAACTTTTCTGGGGGAAGGATACCACAGGACCCCCCTACAATGCTCATGCCCTTTGGCGCGAACCGCTCAGCTAAAGATGTGGTACACCAAGGTAATCACCCTGTTAAATATTCTTTTGCAACGCTGACAGAAACAAACATTTTCCCCAAAAATCAGTTTCTGTAGTTAGCCGTCATATCCTGGTCCAACTTTGATTAAATCCGTAAAGCAGGCCTCTTTAATTTTCCAGCTTTAAATCATATAAAAGGAATTAATTTTGCCTCAACAAACAGTTAGAAGCTCCAATAAACTCCCAACTGGGTTTTAATATACCAACAGCTGTTTGGAGATCCCCAGGACAGAGACTGGATGGAGAATGTATGTTTTTTTTAATCAAACAACCTGAATGAGCTGCAGCTTTTATTTATGGCCATGCAACACGAGCCAGGGTGTGGCTGGGAAAAAAATTATTAATAATCACGGGCAGCGCAAACATCATGGCTGCAAGAAACTTGGAAAAAATTTTATGTATATGATAACCCTGCTAAACATTGCCATGACAACATGACTCATAAGGATTAAACAAATGATTTACAAATCTTAAATACTGTTCTTAAATCAGCAGCATGCTGTCCAACTACTGGGCATGAAATAACTGCTTTAATTGTTTTATTAAGTTACTGGAAGGTTTTACCTCCTAAAACAACAGAAATCATCAGGAAACCGGCTGAGTTTTAAAGTGACTGAGACGACTTGGGTCCTGATCCTTTTAGTCTAAAAGTTCAGGGGAATCCTTTTAGACAGAAGCGTGTTCCTTTTTAGACCATATAAAAAGACTCTGACAGCATTTAGCGAGACTACATGAAAAAGTAGGAAATGCAAAAATGTCAAGATAAAAGCATAGAGATCCTGAGATAGTTCAAACCAGTTTTTAATTTGCTTACTCTTTTCTGTTATTTATTTTCAGAGAGGAAATTGTATGTAACCAAAACCTGTCTCTCTATACCACACAAGAATCTACCTGTACAGTGCATCAGACAAGATTTTTCTGAATGAAGCGTCATCCTGCATGCAGAATGATTTGGAACATGGCAAATGAGCCAAAGCATTGAGGTGGTTTAGGTTTAAGAGCTGCTGAAAAATGCTGCTGTTTGAGAAAAAATCAGCTGAATGTGAGTAAAAATAAAATGTTTTCATCTTCAAGAAGTACATCTCAGGTCATTTATGGCTTTGTTGCAAATCAGCAAGCAGAATCTTATTTTCACATATACATAGATGTTGGAGATCAGCCTGTTTTTCCAGTGTAGTCCTGTTTCTCTGACTGGCTGAATGTGCTCTCTTCATCCTCTGACATGGAGTTAGCTCAGAGCTCGTCTGCCTGGCT